TATTTCCTAATCGAAATTAATGGAATGGAATGTGTGTAGGATAAGTACAGTTGCCGAAGTCAGTGGTGGTAACAATGCTGGATAATGTTGAAACAGCCAATTATAACAATGTGTGAGCCAAGATTTCTCTTCTCTATCCACATTCTAATTCCTCGACTTAAAAAACGTATGGAAGATCGATCGAACTGTATTCGACTTGCTGGTCGAATTAGTCGAAAGATCTTGTGGTTGATCATCGGATAGTTTGCACGATGATCTTGCATAAGTTGGAACCCGCTGGAACCTCGCGGAGTTCCCAGGATATTCGTCGCTATTCCGCAACCGAAATCAATGTCGCGAATGGAATGTGCGTAGGATAAGTACAATTGCCGAAGTGGAAGCGGTGGTGCGCGGGAACGACAGAGGCATTCGCCACAGGCGTTCACGCAGCGCGCGTATGTGTGCGTGCGTGCGCACGCGCGCGAGTGTGAGCGGGTGCGGAGTATCCGCGAAGAGAGGGAAAGGCGCGGGGTGTAGAATCGCCAACACATATCTCGATATCTCGCAGTTCGATCTCTTGAGTCGGCCGCCCGTATATTTACATGTATAATTTATATATCCCGTGGCCCGGACGTACACGCGGTGCGTCCGGCCAGGGCGGACCCAGGGCCGTCCTTACGATCGTCCTGGGACGTCCGTCGAATCCTGCGCGAGTGTAAGCTGTCATGGTGTGAGAAAGAGAGAGAGAGTGTGCATGCGTGTGCGTTATAAAAGGAAGTCTGGCTCGAGACTGAATCGAGAGGAATTCGCGGGAATCCGATCGCGTGTATTCCCACGGCCGTTTGGATCGAGGATCTCTGAAAATTTTCGGGTGTGCGTTTTCCGAATAACGCACGTTCCTCTCGCGATTAAGCGCGCCAATAAGCGGAGTTAAATTCATTACAAGACAGTAGAACCGACGCGACCATTTATCCGGTGCTGCCTTATAGAAAGTATCGATTGTGGATCTCACAGAAAATTTTTACACTGAGAGAAAAAATATCTAAAAATTAGTATATTTATTTTGGTAGGTAATAACAGCGTATTTACTTAAATTTAAATTCCTTTCTTTAAATAGAATAAATAATTGCTTTTATGAAAAACACTAAGATTTTCTAAAGATTATAAGGAAATGTAGATTTTCTTATTTAAAAAATATATTAGTGAATATGCTGTTATTATATGGTACTCTCATAAAAAAAATATTTATAATTTTTAAATATTTTTTCTCTGAAAGTAATGCGCGCTCCAACGGATTAAACTAAGTCTCTTCGTGATTATTATCGTATCTGTATAAAATACAAGTTAAGTAACCAGTTAAGCTGGAGAATAGGTGGACTCTATAATTCGAGAAAGTTGCACGTTTCTCACTAGCGTTTCATCCCAAAGTGACGTCGAGTGAGTCGCGGGAGATGGCACGTGTGAGAGAGATGTGACATTTTCGTACTCGCCACGCGAGTTAATTCAATCACATGTGCGTGATTCGCAAGTTTCACCTCAGTGAGGTACCCGTTTCACCGCGACGAGGTACAACATGATTGCGAGATTTTCCGCGATAAGCGACGACGCGATCGGAGCTGATCTATCCGAGCTTGGATTATACAGGCCCTAGAAGTGGCGCCATAACTTCAGTCTATAACTCCAAATCACCTGCGAACACGCGACCAACCAAGGAGTTAACTCGGTGCGCGACGTAAACGCGGAAGACATTAGAGGCGGGATTTAATTAAGCGAATTCCATAATAAGTTCCCGCTCGCGTAACATGCTCGTGATAAGGCTACTACGAACTCTACCGTCTGGTGATCGCAACGCGCTCATGGAATTTTTTCGGTGGTATAATGCTCCACCGAGAGCCGGAGAGCTCTCTCCTTTCCTCTCCCTCCCTCTGTCTTCTTCTCTTTTTCTCTCCCTGCCGCTATTGTGGCAGCGAGGGCGCAATTAATTATAGCGTATCCGCAGAGGGAGAGAGCATTGTTGCGTCTGTGTGTTGTTGAGCGCACGCGTTGCGCATTGCGCACCCATGGCGTCCCCTGCGCATCGTTTCGAGTTCCCAGCTAGGAGTGATCATTGCTCTTTCTTTCCTTTTCGTCAATTTTATTTCGTCTCCGATCGCTCGAGTCAGTGGTTTTAGCGAAGTCACGAGGATTTTGTGAAACACGCGACGCACGGAAGGGAAGTATCGAAGTGCAGTCGGAAGGGCATACTTATCTCGCACAAAGGCAATTCCGAAACTATCGTATTCCACAGCGAGACAAAAGTTCTACATTGCGCCGATTGGACACATCCTGATAATAGGCGCCACGCCACTTTACGAAAATTGCAACAATTCTCAACGAATTCCGCTTCCTCAGTTGGGTGTGCGGTGACTGGAAACTCTCGGAGGAATCAAGTGGGAGGGCTTTAAAGCTGTTTTCATACGCATACCTATATAGCGATACGCGTGCGTTATAAGCGAGCGAGGTTGCATCGGCAGCACACTAGTTTTCTCTCTCTCTACCCTTTCTCCCTCTCTTCCTTTTTCTCTTCCTCTCTTTCGCGTGTCTCTTGAGTGCGTCGGATGTAAGTATGCGTGCGTGAGCGAGCAGGTGAGCTAAAGGTGAACGACGTAAAGCGCGTCGCTATATACGAGAGAATCCTGAGAGATGGACGCAAGAAAGGGCGCGCTCTCGTCTTCTCGGGTCCGTGTCTCGAACGGCGGAACAATCGCGGTCTCGCCTGAGAAGGTAATTAAGAGAACACGACGGCGACGATTAAACGATTCTCCGCCGAATCGAGCGGGACGAATTAATTTCGCCGTCGATCGGGGAATCGAAGATAAACGTTCGGGAGTGATACGCGGCGGAGATGGTGAAACCTATTTAGTGCTTGAGCGCGATAATCCCTCGCGTGACATGCGAATCTGATCGAACACGATTTCTCGAGTATGAGCATACGACTGCGCAATATCGGTATATGGAAATATTTTCTACAACTTGTTAGCGTATTATACATCTGCCGAAGTTGCGAAAATAATTTCGTTATGAGCATGGCATCTTAACAGCGATTTTAACAGCGGACTTTCTGCCTCGGTGAAAGGCGAACGATTTTTTGCGCTAAATAATTTGATATCAAAGTTAGACAAACGGGTATTTGGGAAATGAGGTCTCTGCATTGCTATGCAAAGCGTTTCATATTCAGATAGATTTTTCATTTGTAATTTTTTGGATGAATCTGACTCGAACTGTGTTAAGAGAGAAACTCTTCTATTTAAAGAAGGATTTGTTTATCTTTCTACATAGAGAAAACTGCTATGATTACTATGATTCTGCATATCCTATAATTAAAGAGAAAATTTATGTAATTTCAAGTTAAATAGATATGACATTAAAAGTTGCTGTTGTTATGTATTCATCTACATAGTTCTCACAGCCATAATTCTTATGATATGCAATGTTCAATTAGTATATCCTTATATGTATATATATCATAGATTTGCTCACGTAACTGTTTACAGCTTGATATCTCAAAAACTACTTAATCGGTTTTGAAGGTTTAGATTTTGAATGATATAGATGTGAATAGTCTTCAATTTTTATAATAATTAAAACAAAAATTTGTATAATAATTTTTGTAATATTAATGTATTTTAATATATTTTATATTATATATTAATATATAATATTATATAACTGTTTAAAGTAACTGTTTAAAGATTCCCTCTTTTCAATGGGGACCACATCGTTTGCGAGTGATCACATCGTTGTCTTTTGTAGTATCCGTATGTTGTCCCGTATATTAAGAAATACGAAATTAATAAGAGAGAAATTGCAAATAATATAATAACACGATAAAATGTTTACAAAAATAATCTGCACGCGCGAACATCGCGGCCGTGCTTCGTTGAATTTCATGGCCCGCTGACTTTACGCCGCGAAATTCTGCAATTTTCCGTGATCGAGGCACGCACGTGAAAACGAGATCTCATTTGCGCGCGCGCGGGGAAGGAGAATGGGGAGAATGATGGTCGGAGAATACTGCCGGCCGCTTAGAACGCGGACGGACGTAGCCGAGGGCGCTGACTGGCAGCCCTGAACGTCAAATTACGGGGCACCTGTTCTTCAAAACGACTTCATTCCATTCGTATCGCATAGGGATTTCATGTCCGTCCGTCCGTCTGTCCGTCCGTTTATCTGGACGGTTTCTCTCCCGTTAATATCCGACGATCATGTTAAAGGATTCTGTACGATTAAATAGCGGATCGATCATCCAATGCGTCATATAAGAACGCGCTCGAGTTTATCTCGTTAAATAGTTAAGATCAATATGTACAATTTGTTTCCGAGAAATCGAGCTGTAAATAGTCATGTGAGCTGTATAGTTGTTTTAGCAGAAAGAATATTGCTGTTTCTCTGTTGTGGTCTGCAGAACAAATACTGTGATTGAGAAATTTGTAGGGTTTGGTTGCACGATATATTACTGAGTATAGCGCTTAAAAATGGAGGCAACAAAGAAAGCCAGTATATCACTTCCAGAGTACTATTGGTTACTACAACAATTTTGTATGTATGAGTGAAAAACAACGTTAATACTTTGTCGTGACAATTATATTTAGGCAAGTGATATTTGTTGTTGATATTGTTTGTCTCTCACCGCGTGAATTTCGAATCGAAAATTTCTTGAATGAGATTTTACTTCAAAAAATTTAGAGAGTATGTAAGGTAAAAGCACTGATTCCCGAATACATATCTGAATATTCTTATTTTGGTCTTTGAATACGAATATTTAAACTTTCAACACAGAATATATTTATATACTCCATAGATGTGCATATATTTTATGCTGAAAGTTCAAATATCTAAAGACTAAGACAAAAAGAATGTCCAGCTAAAGTAGAAAATAAAATGTAGATCTGAAATTTTTCCTACTCTCTCCGAAAGATACGAACATCAGCAGAAATAATGACTCACTTGTTCGTTAGGTACTGGTTGACTTTCGCAGAATCGTCCGAGACGGTATTAATTTACATTAATTATGTTACAGTTAATTAGAAACTATAATGTGTGCTTCTTTACGTCATTATGTCATTATGTTTTTGCGTCATGGTACCGAGTGTAAACCGAGCGTCTGGAGCTATATTCTCGATGCGTATTAAAATACTACTCAAATACACCCTTTTAATTCAGAATTCCATGATTCGTATACGAGCGTTCTGTATAAAGTTATTTTACTTTAAGAATCAAAAGGACGTATTTAACACTCATACACACGGAAAAAAATTTGGATCAATTAACAAAACTTCTTTTCTATATGTATTTAAACGCTGAATACGTAAATCTAATCAATGTCTAATGAAACATAAACGAGCTAGAAATTCCGGTTGAAGTTACTAGATTTCTGGTTAATCAGAAGTCTTATATTTGATTAACCAAAAATTTGTTAACTTGAACAGAATTCTGATAGCTTCCACAGGTTCGCCCATATTTCATTAGACATTTCGTTATAATCCAATCTTTTTTTCCGTGTACATCAAGAATACAGTCCTTGAGCCGGCACGTAGTCACGCGCAATATCCGTGTGGCTGCGACGGATGTCAGGAGGAAGCGTGCGCGCGAATTTACCGGTACTTTTAACTGACACAATCACACGTTCACACATGAACGCACGTCCGCGATTTCACGGTGACGGACGACGCTGAGACCTGTCGTCGCAGGCCGCGAAAATCGCACCCCGTCCTTGTCGCGCGAGTGTTTTCACGTGCATCGATTCCAGTGACACGATTCGCTCCGGTCACTTACCTGCCAACCAGTCCCTCTTCCGCTTGTCTTGCGTTCGTAGAAAAATTTCGAGCAACGGCCGGCTATTTTGTTAGCGCGCAAAAGCGACGGGAGAGACTGGCGCGCCGCTACCGATCGATTCGCGACGCTTGAGCTGTCGATTCGCGTGTCGCGAAAGTCGATTGTCTTAACAGGACCGCAAAGTGTGGCGACAAAGGGACAAGTGGAGCGTCACCGAGCAAGAAATCGATTTCATCCGGAACCGGTCTCTGGCGCATTCGCCGGGTTAAGCGACAACGCTCCGCTCCAACGTAACGCGAACGCTCCTCGAGCTCGATTCCGCTTGCACGGCTCACAAAACTTGCGAGCCGTGAAACATCGTTTTTGAAAGGCAACTTCCGAGTCACGTTACAGCGACGAGAAATCTCAACGGCCTTTTGTCTGTGCTCTCATTCCCTCCCCTTCCCCCCATTCTTATCTCCCAAGAGAGAGACCCAAGAGACTTCCTGTCGTCCTCCGCAAAGAGGAAGAGCGTCGAATTGTTGCAGCCGCACCAATACTCTTCTCGTTCACGGGAGATGAACGCAGCTTGCTCCCAGTGGCGATCGTTCATATCGTATTTCCTCTCCAACTTTACACACATACACATTTCCTTTTTTAAATATTAATTAAATATAATCCGAAGGCACCGTGTTCTCGTTAATCGCCGCCAATCTGTATTGCGACGTGTCCAAACTCTGCGGACTCAGGTGCAGGTTTGTCGTCGTCGTCGCCGTTGCTGTTGCCACCGCCGCCGCCGCCGCCGCCGCCGCTGCCGCCGCCGCCGCTGCCGCCGCTGCCGTTGTCGTCGTCGTTGTCGTCATCGCGGACGACGACACCGCGGCGGTCGGTATCTGCTGATTCGCCGAGTTCGAACTGAGATCGCTATAGTAAGCGCTGCTGGGAGCGCTGCTCAACGTCGGCCCGTCCGGCTCGGCGTCGCTTCCGGTGTACGCTGTGTTCTGGTACGAGGGATGCTCGCTGTTCCTGCTGCCGCCGATCCTCAGCTCCTGATGCTGATGATGATGATGATTGTGGTGATGGTGATGGTGGTGATGATGATGCTGACCCGGCGGCACCGGCGTCGACGGGCCGTTCTCGTACATCTCGTAGTCCGGCTCTTGTATCCTGGAAGCAGCCGGATAACGAGGCTCTCAATAATCGTCGGAACGACGGCCGTTCCGATCGGAATGCCGGCCATTAACATATGTACGGCGTATATCGGCCGCATCGATATCTGCCGATTACGCGCGCCGGTGCGTATCGGACGCGTGCGTGCGTGAGCGCGCGCACGTTGTTATACGCGCAATTAAGCGCTCTTAGAGGGCGATGATAGAACAAAACCGAGCTCGTTATCGATCTAGGAAATGTCAGGGAAACGATCTTCTGGCATCTGGTTTAATTCAACTTAAGTACAACTTTTTCCTCGAGTACAATGAGTTACGTATATTATTCAAGACAATAACGTAATATTTCATCAAATTTTTTCTCTATGTAATACGTATCGTAATGAACCGTTTATTTCAACAGTATCTATTTATTATCCAGAAAAAATTAACGATTTCTACTTAATAAGAATCATGCACTGTAAAAAAGATTTAGTAATAACCATTAAGCTTGGGCAAGAGTTACCAGATGCTTTGGTGAAATATTAGGTGGTAAACTTAGTTCCTGCGGTTTAATTCGTGTGGTACCCATTTTCCCTCCTTTTGAATTTTTCCCATTGCATGTAGACGTTTGGAAACAGTCATCGGAGTAACATTTAATGCTGCAGACAATTCTTGGAGCGTTTGAGTAGAGTTTTCGTCCAATAATGCCTGCAAATCGGTGTCTTCAAACTTTTTCGGTTGGCCTGAGCGTTCTTTATCATTGACATCAAAATCACCACTCTTAAATCGCTGAAACCATACTTGGCATGTTCTTTCCGATGGAGCATAATTGCCATAAGCTTCGAAAAGCAATTTATGAGCTGCAGCTGCAGTTTTTTTCAAGTCAAAGTAATGAAGCAGCACATGTCGAAAAAACAACTTATCTTCCATATTTAATCAAAAGAAAAAATAGCACTGCTCGCTTAAATGAATCTCTTCGCACTGAATTTTATTGACAAATGTCTAACCTCTAAAATGCAGCCAGTTTCAGATGTCAAAATAAATTACACCTACAACTAACGTCATCTAACTGTGAGCCGCAGGAACTAAGTTTACCACCTAATATTTTGACTAAACATAGATAAATATGATGAAATAATTTAAATATTTAAATATTAACGAATAACTTTAGCTAGGCTTGTGGTATCGGTTGCTAAACCTTAATAATTCTTTAATTTTATTTACACACAGTAAAAAAATTATATTTTTAATAAAATCATTAATTTACTTCACATTTAACACCTGCCATGGAAATGAGGTCACATGTCTCACCTCTTGCTGTGCCGAGTGCGAAGTGTGTCGGTCTGCAACGAACCGTCGCTGCCCCCGTAATGACGATGTAATCTCGCAGCATCCAGCTCGTGATATTCGTCGTCCTGGCCGCCGGAAGTCGTACCGTACGTCGAGCTTCCTCTCATTTGTAACTGCAGATCGCTCGCATAGCTCGCGGCCTGAGAGTCCAGTTCAGCGTACAGCGCCTCGTCAGTTTGCATGTGGGTGTAGTGATTCTCGACCGGGAGATTCATCGCTCGTCGATGCTGCGGAAGGGAGAGCGGCGTCGTGACGACTCCCGGTGTGCCGCCGCCTCGCCGAGAACCCAGCCATGACCACACGTTGTGCCCTAAAGTCCGATTTCACCAACGATTCGAGAGCCGTAGTAATTAGTAGAACTGCTTAACGTAATTAGACAGTGAGCGATAGGAAGCTAAGCAATGTGTTAGATGGTTTTTCTATCATCCTTGCATGATCATAGAATGGATACGCGCCATCGATAACAATCAAAGAGTCGAACTGTCGTTACGTCCCCAGATAGCACAAAATCTTTAAGGGATATCCTGAGGACTTATGCGGACATTTAGAAGTCCTCAAGATGTCTTTGGGACATCTTTGAAAGATTGTGCTGTCTGGGTCGTCTCTTCTGTATCATAAAATCGATTTTCATGCTCACTAAAAGTCTATCCCGGGCAAACGACACCATCAGACCGATTCCGATGGACTCGTTTTCACTCTTTCCCAACGACTTTCCAACGAGTTTTTCGACACACAATAGGAAAAACCGGGTCACACTGACCACGCGTTTCGTTTGTATATTTCAAAAACTTCTTTAGAAATGTTAAATACAAATATATTATTAATGTTTCAATCATTGTGGCAAAGTTCAATTACTGGGACATTTGTGTCACTTTGCGGTTTCTTTACTCACTGCTTCTCTCGCAACAAAGCTACAACAAAACACTCTGCCAACATGACTCCGAGATTCACTTGATCCGGTGCCTTCTTATTGCGCTCAGTGCCGCCTTATCGTGAGATACAGATGCGCACTCGTTGTAATTGTCACGAAAGATCTTACACGGCTATCGACTAGTTGAAAACGCCGTTGAGAAACGAGTCGTGAGATCCGGTTCTGCGAGCTCGATTTTCTGCAGCGAGTGAAATGAGACGTACTCTCGGGCACAAGAGACGCCGTGCTACCGCGTCCACGATCACAACACACGACGTAACGTGTCGGGAACACGCGAGTAACGAGCGGCCATTTCTCAGTGATCGCCGGACGGCGTGCACGCATATGCATGAGAAGCGTCTCGGACGGCGAGCGTATCGCGTAATAACACTCACCTGGACTAGGCGCTACGTCGTGATAAGGTGGTAATTTGTCTAATTCGAGAGGCGGCCGATCGGGTATGACGGCCACCCCGCCGCCTGCAACACCCGCCCCCGCGGGCCCACCGGCCTCGGGTACGCTGGAGTCCTCCGTACCGACGCCACAGCAGCTAGCTGGAACAAAAAGCGAAGAGAATCCCGTTCAGTCGCACGGCTCGTTGCTCCGGAAAAATTCGTTGACGTCACATCGAAAGGACGCGATGCGAAAGTCGCGCTCGAATTTCGTTGGCTCGCGTTTCTGGGGGCCTAACAACTTTTCTCCCTGATGGCTGCATCGTGAGATGCGCTTCTCGCGCGGCGGTGAAGCACACGAAGTGCGGCCAGCTGAGGTCGGGAATTCCGATACACTGCGTATATCTATCCCAGTGTTAGGGTGACCGACTTTTAATCCGCCAGTTTCGGAATATCGACCTTAACAAATCGGGAGATGATAAAAACAATCGGAATTTCTTCATTGATGAGAGGTACTGGGTTATTGTGGAGGTCGTAAGCTTTAAGTAAGTTTTAAACATATTAAAAATACGAGGGGGATCCGATATTAAAGGTACAAACACAAATTACACTAACATTTATATTTAAAGAAAATATTTAATATATTCCACAAAAAACTACATACTTTTGTTTATTTCTCGACATAATCTCCATAAACGTTGAGACATTTATCCTAGCGTGACACTAGTTTGAACATCCCTTCACGGTACTGCTGCTTGTCAAGTCACTTGAAGTGTTATTGAAGCTGTTATTGCGCGATTACGATTACGCGAAGGAGTTAAACTTTTGCACGATGGCGCAAGACCCCACACGTCAAATCAAACCAAACTGTGGTTGACACAGCAGAATTGGGAGGTCCTGCAACATCCTCCATATATACGGAGTATATACGGAGTTTGGTTTGATTTGACGTGTGGGGTCTTGCGCCATCGTGCAAAAGTACTTTAACTCCTTCGCATAATCGTAATCGCGCAATAACAGCTTCAATAACACTTCCAGCGACTTGACAAGCAGCAGTACCGTGAAGAGATGTTCAAACTAGTGTCACGCTGGGATAAATGTCTCAACGTTTACGGAGATTATGTCGAGAAATAAACAAAAGTATGTAGTTTTTTGTGGAATGTATTAAATATTTTCTTTAAATATAAATGTTAGTGTAATTTTTGCTTGTACCTTTAATCGGACTCCCTCGTAAATAAATTAACTTCATATTCTATCGAAACGTTCTTCGAAATGTCCATTATAAAAAAACGCTAACATTACTTTGAAAAAATAGAAAGGACGAAATTATTACTTTCTTCAAAGCAATCTTATTACGTTTTCTATCGTATTATGACGACTGATAATAGCATGCAGGAAGAAACATCTAAGAGTGATAATTGTAAAATATTTTATCATACAGCAATAATATTAACTTTAATAATATTAATTTTAAGAGGTACAGCAGTACCTCTTAAAAAAGTTATCGACGATACTCCATTGTGCCTCAGATTCCCCTATATCAGATTGCAAAATTTGCGCCTTTATGCCATATGACGTCCCGTCTAGGGTTCTTTCGGGACGCCTTCACGAAGAACCGAAAATCGGGATGTCCCGCAAAATTCGGGACGGTCGGTCACCCTACCCTGCACGCAGATAGAAATACCGGTCGTTGTGCATGTAGACGACACGACACGATGAACGGACCCGAATCAACGCATTATGACGTGCGTCCGCGTACGAAGCAAACACCGGCTGTTTTCTGTATGGCCTCATTGTGGACCTGTCATCGCGCCGTCATGGGCCCTCATAGAAACGCGGGCTAGAGGGTTGCGCGGAGCGTACTGGCGAGTAGTACAGCGGGATGGCTGCTGGAGAAACCGGGACAAGAGAGGAGTAGAGGAAGGGGAGGAGAGAGGGCACACAAGAGGCAGAGGGTGTAAGAGGAGGACAGGAAAAGGGATCTCGGAATTCGTAGATCAGAAGCGCCGCCGCAACGGTAAGCAGACATGAGAATACGACAGAGAGGGAAAGAGAGGGAGAAAAAAACGACGAGATTAAGGGAATCTCGTGACTCCTTGTTGCCAGAGAAGCACCTTTCTCTTCCCCTCTTTCTTGATCTGTGCCACTCACCGGGCCACGACGGTCTCATAATCTACGCACGTACGAGTCGCAACTCCTTGGTCCCTTCGTGTTCGAAGGGCATGTCGCGATGGCCTGAAAAGCCGGCCGCTGTCTTACTCGAGCGCCGGGGAAATAGAGAGACTGGTTTCTCGTTTATCGCATTACCTACCCCCGCGCGCCGCGGCGGCGCACGTTTCTGCGCGCGAAGCGCGTTTAAATGCCGTCGTCCGCCGCGAGGCGAACTACTATTTTATTTATACTTCGAAGAAGAAGCCGCGAGTTCGCTCGCTCGCCCGCGAGAGACGCGTTTCGTTCGCAACAACGGGCGCTTGATGGACGCGTCGGAAATGGTTGATTATTCCGATCCGCGCTTTCGCCGGCCTCTTCGCGTTTTTACGGAACGCCCGACATTGCGCGGTAGGCAATTTCGACTTTGAGGCGTTCTCGCGCAGTTCTTTCGTACTGCTCGAGGCCCGCACGATTTCTACAAATGATTAGTTTCGCTCGTAACATCTCTCGAGAATTAAGGCGTCTCTACTTTCGCTGATCCATCAAATTTCTCAGTAATCACCAAGTCCACAATCGCCTTGGGTCGATCTCCGAGAAACAAAAGGGTCGCGTTTGAGTTGTGACGTATGTGAGATTCTAATTTTAACCGCTCGATCTACACCGTCAACTTGTAATTTCACCGTGAAATGATCGGTCAACGAAACATTCACAGAGTTAATTGTACGGTATAATCATGGTTATAATTGTACAGTGTAATCATAGTTCTACTCTCGTTCTCCTTAACGCTGACCTCCTTCGTTAAAAAGTCGTTAGCTCGTACCGGTAAGTATAGCTTGTACTCTTTTATTACAGCCTCGATTTGACGCGATTAGAGTCATAATGACAAAGCGGAAAACCTGTTACATCTGCAATTATGCGTGACTACTTCGCTTAACGTCCGGACGTCTGCTCGATGTCCTCATCGATTACACCGCGAAGTGGAAAATGTAATCGCGGTTTATTTATTAAAGCCGCAAAGTCAGCTTTGTTGCTAATATCATTGCGCGATTACTAAACGGCTCGCGATTTCGCCGCTAATCTGTTTATTGCGGTAAGCACGACGATTTATCCTCCCGTCATTTCGCAACAGAGCCAGTTCTCGTTGCGATTTCGCGACAAAATTCCGGTACGATTATATCGTAACAGGTTTTCTACTGCCCTGAGCGAAGCATTTTTGGTTAATTTTTCATCCGCCCTCCTATTAATTTTGCTCGACTACTAGCTGCACCACTTTGCAGCATTTCTCAATGCGTTCACAATTCAGACAAATAAGATTGATAGGCAATCTTGCATTTATCATAAGAAGAACGCAATGCAATAAATTGCATGTGAAAAGAAAAACGCGCACTGTTCTGAGAAGTATGGATATTTTTACGTGGTCTTTCGCTTCTCTCTAAGAAAATTTCTACATGAGATAATTATATCCCTTAACACTCAACCTTCAAAAGTTTGAATATTAAATAATTCTTGAACGAGTACTTCTTCGAGCCTCTTTAATACAGGAAAAACTGTAAGCAATCATAGCATTAAGATAAGCCATTAAGGTAGCTTATACAGGGTGTCCCAGATCACCTTCACAATCTCTCGTGAGGACGGAAAGCGGATTGAGACGAACAAAGTCCTATACCATTTTGCGATATTCGCAATAATAGTCGAGATATTAATTAAAAAAGATTGGTGAATGATAATGCGCGATATGGTAGATGAGCTGCAATTGCGCCGTCTACCGTTGTATACTTGTACATTAAGTCAAACTGAACAAAAAAGTCCTCTACCATCTTGCAAATAATAACATAGATTTTTAGATATTAATCAAAGAAAATTGTTACATGATTATGTACCATAATGTACAAATTTTCTTTAATTAATATCTAAAAATCTATGTTGTTTGCAAAATGGTAGAGGACTTTTTTGTTCAGTTTGACTTAATGTACAAGTATACAACGGCAGACGGTGCAATTGCAGCTCATATACCACGTCGCGCATGATTATTCATCAATCTTTTTTAATTAAAATCTTGAGATTTATTGCGAATATCGTAAAACGGTATTGGACTTTTGTGTTTATTTCAATCCGCTTTACTTCCTCACAAGAGATTGTGATCTGGGACATCCTGTATAGTAGGTTGCAAAATGATTTAGATACAATGAAATTGAGAATTCACCAACCTGTCAAAATTGAGAATTATTATACACGATTGACTTACACAATAATAATATATTTAACAATATATTTAATGATATGATTAAGAGCATTGAATAATAGTGAATAATAAAAATATTAATAATAATTATTATTAGGCAAGCCCGTTAGAGTAAAATTTTGACAGTTTGGTGAGAGCTTTCAATTTCATTGTGTCTAAACCTTTTTGCAACTCACTGTACATGTCGAGATTTTTCAATGACTCTTCAAATTCAACGGAATTTGCAGGGCTAATGTAGAAACGACTCGACTTGGGTAGTTCCTACTTTACAATTGAATTTAATTGATCGCGTCAGTCCTTTTTCCGTGCTGTCGTGGCGTTTCACCAGCGATATACGGCCCCGAACGAATATTGTCGGGATAGATGGGTGGAATATTAATTAGGAGACACGTGAAAATCGTAGCGTCGGGGAGCATGTCGTGACGACGGGGGGCAAGTGTTACGCTCTTTCGTCACGATCAGATAACTTAAAGGCGTGCGCAGAACACACGCTCTGCCTCCTAGTCTGGTTGTGCCGCGTGTGAGATCTCATACGATAAGAATTTAACACGATTTATTACGATCAAACCCGCGCGTCGAGGGATTAAGTACGAAGGATCATCACAAGGGCTCGCAGTCTTCACACATTATTGAAACGTAATAAACGTTACAGATGTAGAAACAAGTTAGAATATATTTATTGTTATCCAATATGCGACAATATCCTAGAGCTTGCAATTTTTTAGGCATTCGGAATAACTAGTCTCATACTTTTATTATTATTAAGTAC